ATTCTGAGTGCCTGAGGTTGCATTTTATCTAGATGACAATACTATAATTGTTAGAGTTTCACTCATATTGAGCTGTGCTCCAATTTGGGCTCTATATTTACCTTTCTCAAGGAAGAAATGAAAGATTAGATGAACACAGCCCTGTAAACAGTGTGTGGTGTGTCTGAGGACCTGCTTATGTGTTGAGAGGTTGGTTTTGTGGGTAACTATGGGAGAATACATGTTTCAAAGAGGGGGATTACACAATCGCATCTTTTTTTTCTCTTCTTATCTTTGGTTTCACTCAGTCAGAATTGAGTTCCGAGAAGACAACAGCGATGGTAGGGTAGAAAAGGACAATGTACAGAAGAAATTTCTAGGTTGGAGGCCTTGAGTAATAGCTTTTTTTCCAGTGAGTAATTTGTTGAAAGATCATCTTGTGTTTGATGAGTACAATGGAATATTGTACTCATGAGAGTTAGGGATGTTGTTGTATTATGCTCATTCTACGTAAATAGTGAGCAAAGAGTTAAAATGACATATTATGGCCACACATTGCTGAGAACGTGAGCCAGGTTATAATTTCACTCTCATTTTAGGATTTTCAGTAATTGCTTACCATGTTAGTTAATCATTTAACATTAACATCAGACTCATTTCTTTTACCTATAAAAAAAAAACCACTTTCTTATGTATTCTTTGGAGAACTTAGGTTATAGCATAAGAAAAGAGACTTGTGTACTGTGTGATGCACAATAGTTACAGGAATGATAACAATTTGCATATTTCATATCTCTACAAATGAGAAAATTTATGTGAAGTTGGCTTTAGGGAAGATGACATCAAAGACACGTAGGAGTCCCGATCTTTCATTGAGCACCCAGCTGGTCTCTGTCGCACTGAAATGGCACACACGCTTTCTTCTGTAGACAGAATGGTGTGTCTTAGCCTTTCTACTAATTTAACAATGACGATTATATTGCTACCAGATTCTCTAAGACATTATTGGACATCTGCAACTGTTAAAAGGAGCTGCTATATACACTAGGCGAAATCAGTTACTCAAGGAATTGGATGTTAACACTTCCTAAAACTAATGTCATGAAATACCAACAATAAAAATCCCCCCTTTCTCATAAAATAGTCCCATACTACCCAGGTTTCTTTAAATACCGATGAGGGACTGCACATCTCTGAACTTCTCTGGACTAAAGCAGCTCTTTCTCAGAGACAGAGTAATCAGGTTTCTCTTTATGGGGAAGCATGAACTCATCAGAACACAGACTCCAGCAACTGTGCCCTGTGGAGACTGGAGATAATAATACACATTGTTGAGCTTTAGTCATCCTTGAGGGTGGACCATCTGTGTGTGAACCTACATGGCAACAACGGGGCTCAGAGCGTGCCCATGTCTGCCTTCAGCACTTCTCTGGACGGGATCTCTTTTACTTCTGCATCTAGAACGATTCTGACACACACACTGTGAAAAGCTGCACTATATTCAGACATGTGCACACACACAAACCATGAACGTAAAGTGAATATAGAATCATAGTACTTCATTAAGCTACTGTGCCAATAGGGGTATGTTTTGGTCTAATTCTTTTACCCATGTTTAGGTGAAGACAAGAGACTAAAAGTGAAGGAGTATGAAGATGAAATTTGATTGTCAGCTTGACGGGATTTCAAATCATCATGGAAACAGTCTTCAGTCATGTCCAGGAGGCATTACCAGGACTAGGTTAACCCACGTGATACTATTATAGGCTAACCCGGGTGATACTATTCTTTACGTGGGAGATACTATTTTGTAAGCTCAGGAGAGTAAATAAATAATTCTTTTCTAAATATAAAGGAGAAAGCAAGCTGAGCACCAGCACCCATCATCTCGACTTCCTGACAATGGGGCCAGTTGCCTAAAATCCCTGCCACCCCGACTTCCTCCTAACGATGGGCTATACCCTCAACAGATGACCCAAATAAGCACTTCCTTATTTACAGTCCTTTAGGTCAGCTGGTTTGTCACCTGGCAATGAGAAAAGTAGCTAATATGTAGAACTTCTGCCTATGGCCCTGGCAATATAGCAATGTAAGACAATGTTACAGGGTCAGCTTTGCTGTGGTTACTCTGTGCTGACTCTCTTCAGCAGCTACCAAAGCTCTAGGGGAATAAGTCTAGATAGGAATTTTCCTATCTATTCTATAATTTCCCTAAAGAAACCAAGTATGTGAGAGAAGAATGTCTCTGCTGGGTTTCTGTGGTTAATTGAGTTTCTTTTAGCTCTTCCCTGTGACTGTGTTCAATAAACAGCACAGGCCAGGTTCAAGTCTTCCCAAAGGAAGCATGGTGTGTGACTGTGTGTCACTAGGCTAGAGACTTTGGGAAGATCAGGAAAAGAATGGAAACCATATCAGCAGGCAAGGGCAAGATCTGTAGGTGTCTCATATGCATCTATTAAGCTTTTATTAAATCTTTAATTCTATGTAAGCAAATTGAAACTATTCTAGCTTTTCACTTAGAAACTGCTTTCATAAAATTTGTTTCCATCTTGACTTATTTTCTCTTAATGTTCATTTAAAACTTGTTACTATAACTTATTTACTTATTTATGAGATCAAGTATAAAATTGGGGAGAAAGGATATACTTATCTTGTTAAGTTTGGTCTTACTTTTTGTGATTTTTTTAGGTCTGTTCCCCTTCTGAATTATTCTTAGATGATCAAAACAAATACATTCTTTCCTTACTCTGTCTACCTTCCTGTCAGCCCCTCTTCACTTCCTCTCAATTTCTATTTGATGCCAAGGACATTAGAATAAAAGGTATAAAGAAAAGATCACTTGTTCCTAAATAACTCTGCTTATCTGTGGGACCTAGATACTATTTGAACAAAATACCTTTGTTTATGCCTGCACTAGTCCCCCTTACTTCTAGGACATATCAGTGAAAGAAGCCTTGTCATTACCTTGACCATATTTACACAATTAAACACAAACAATATGAATGGGATTTTGCTGTTGTAAAAAATTCTTGAAGTATATTTTAAAATGGTTATGTCTGTATGTCTGAATCTGACTCATACTTGGTCTATTGGATTGGGTGTGTCCAAGCCCCACATTCTATGCCCTATTCTTTCTGTCCTATTTTTGTTATTAGTCAAGACAGCATTTACAAAATCCAATCTCTGGACTAACCAGATCTGAGAGTTTTATAAAATTTATCAAAACTCCCAAGACCAATTAATGGAATAACTGGGAACAGATGCTTCTCTTAAATAGCTCCTCAGACTCTCTCGGATGAATAGCTTAGTACAAAATGCCAGTTTTGTGTGTGTGTGTGTGTGTGTGTGTGTGTGTGTGTATGTGTGTGTGTCCGCAGCTATACTGAAACACCCTGGGAATCCTGCTATGAACACCAACAATGCCTGGTGTTATGTGTCCATGATGTCCCCATCAGTGTGTTTGATAGGTAGTGGGTCATATGCTGGATCTTGGAAATCCAGCTCTAGGTTTCTCATTGCAAGTCATTCTAAGCAGAGCCTTCCGGCTCCCATTTGATGTAATCACTATTACCTTGTCTACTCTACTACAAAGCCGCTGGCTTGTTTCGCAAGGGTAGAAAGTTATACCATTTTGTACTATCTAGGTGACAGGAAGTCAGGGCTGTGGAGTCACTTCCATCAACTCTCAGTTGAGACCCGAGATTGTGGGCAGAAGCGTGTGTGTGGACACGAAAGTGCCTACACGTGAACACACTCATTGCATTATCTCTGAGAGTCGTGAGCCCAGGTGGTTAAGCTCTCAGCTCTAGCTCCTGGGTTGTCAGCCACACAGTTCCTGGAAGCATTTTCACAGACTGCCATGAATAGACCCCAGCAGGGGTGCGGTGCAGTGGTCCTTGAAAGAAGGGAGCCATTATTCTGCAAATGGAGGAGATCCCACCACTGAGGAAGCAAACAGAATGTTTGGGAGGAAAAAGTTCAACAGGAGTCAACGGTCTTATCTCCCGATTACACAACTACACAGCTGGGCCTCAAGCTGACAGCACATGCAAACACCAGAGGACGCACTGCTCACTGAACTTTCTCTTTTCTTACGCACATGACAATCTGGAACACTTTCCCTTACAGCTCTGTGCCACAGCAGGAATGAGAAATGACCCAAAAAGTATTTAGCAGAAGAGTTAGCCACAGTGAGTGATTTCTCAGCATCCGTTTTTTTTTTTTTCTTTTTTCCAAATTCTGGAATTGTTTAATACAATCCTGATGGCTTATGCCTCTGGAGCCCTTTTCTTAAAATGCAGTTGCATGCAAGAAAAGCACATTCATTCCATGCAACACAGCTCAGTTGTTGCCTCTAGCTCCAAGTACAGAATACAACTCAGTCGGAAGTTCCTAGTACAAAGAAACATGCACAGCACAGCGATAGGAAGTATTCACCACCAACACAACGAAGTCAAGGAGCTGCAAAGCTGTAGTAGCCAGAGGAGGATTAGCTTTCCTGATTTCAGTTAAAGGAATGTCTCTTGCGTTATCATCCACTTGTTTGGCATTGTCTTTGCTCTTGGCTATTACATATTACATTCGATGCAACTCAGGTTAATTTCCAGCCTCAGTGGTCCCTCAATTGCAATCCTTCCCTCAAATCCAGCCCTTATCTTTTGCATTTGTTTCATTAAAAAAATTCGGTAGTCCTAAAAGGTGGATTTCCTCCAATATCTTCTACTTTGCAAACTCCAGAACTGTTTTTGGCCAATAAATCCAGTGAAGAACTGACTGTTAGCTAAGGCTTCAGACATGCAAAGCGCACAACCCTAAGAAACAGTAGCGTCTGGGACAGGAGGCTCCCATTAGTTGACATGAGGATGACATAGATTTTACAGATCAAACACACACAACAAACCGGTGGTGGTTTACTGGATGGAATGCATAATTGAGCAAGGACCCAGACTAGGGAGCCGCCTCTTCCTCTAGCTTGCATACATTTATTTCACACCACCTCAGGCCGCTCATCGTTTGCTTACCTGCTCATTGTTGCTCTCCCACCATTCCCCATACTCCCTTTGGGGGTGAAACACTCTATTTCCGACTTGTGCTGGGCCAGTCTCCTGTCTTTGTACCTGGTGAGCATGAACAAGGACAGGAGCAAACAGAAAGATGTGATTGTGTGCTTCACCGCCAGGCTGAGGAAGCACCGTGACTGCAAACATGGTCATCCCGCACCCAAACATGGATTTCTGCTTCTCACTGTAATGGAGGCTACCTTGGGTTATTTACTTGATGATGTCAACAGTATAGGGAAAAATTGGGAATGAGTTTGTTACTTGGGGGTTAAAACAAACACAGTATACTCTTTACATAACGGATTGATCTGTAAATTCATCACATCCTTTAATCAATGGCAAAAAGAATACAATCCTTAGCATCTAGCAGAGATGACAGTCAATAAAGATTTGTTTAACGCTTACCATGCACCGGACTTTGTACTAGAGCTTTACCTAAACTTTTTCCTGTCAGCAGTCCTGTGACAGAGGTTCTGCTATGGTTATTTCCATGTTACTGAAGAAGAAATGTAAAATTGCAAAGATTAAGGAAATTGACAAAAGACAAACAACAAGTTGTTAATTTGGGCTTTGAATGCAAAGTCAAAGTTGAGAACTCAACTGTAGCCTTCCATCTTTAAGTTTCTGCAACTAAATTATGTCATTGTTTCACCTTACTGAGAATATGATATCTGAATTTATTTTATATACAGGTAATATTAAAAGAAAAAACGGCCTCTTTTATATTTATGAAAGGTTCCTATAAACATTAAAAGTATGAAAGTCAGCCGGGCGGTGGTAGCGGCTCACACCTTTAATCCCAACACAGAGAGGCTGGAGGCAGAGGCTGGTGGATCTCTATGAGTTCAAGGCCAGCCTGGTTTACTAGCACTGGTTCCAGGACAGGCTCTAAAGCTATAGAGAAATCCTGTCTCAAAAAAAAAAAAAAAGAAAAAGAAAAAGAAAAAAGGTTTGAGAGTCAGTTTTGGGTGGCCCATACCGTAATTTGGACTGTGCCTCAAATCCATTTTGTAGCAGAACCCATCGCTCACCTCCCCAGGGAGCTACTAGTTGCCTTGCCAAAAATGAGTACTGCAGTCCCTTTAACAAGAATCTACAAGGTGTAGAAGATGAGCCATTTTAAGAGCTTTTTTGAGATGGAATAAAAGCTTGTGTAGAAATATTCTTACTCATTGTTTTAAATCTGTGGAATAAGAAGAGAAATAATCAATTCTGGCTTCCAATAAGGACTGCCAGGCTGACTTAATTGACTTTGCTAAAATCACAAGCCAAACCAGTAGAAAACTTCCAGGATAGCTTTCAAGTTACAAGGCTCGAGTGTAGGTGCTTTGTTCCATATGGCTTTGGCTTGATGTGATGCCTGACATTGTTGATGCAATGAAAAGGAAGTTGCCATGAGAAGACTTGTTTAACCTAGTTTAGTCGTGTTCTCTTTGGTATCTTTTTTCCTGCTCTTTCACAAATAAAAGACATGAAACAAAATGGAATGTAATCAAGATAATTACTGGCCCTGAGGGAGAAGTCTTAGGATTTTTCTACTTTCAAAGTGTTAACACTGTTTTGCATTTGAATAAATATAGATCCTTACATCAAATTCAATGGAGGTAATGGATTAATTTATGAATTGAATGTTAGTTGAGCAGATATAATCCATAAGCTGTGGGTTTATATGCAATCCATAAAGATAATCATCAGATGTTGCATTATCAGGTTCACATAATGATGGGAGAAGGAAGAGTAGAATAAAGACCCACGTGACTGTAGAATAAGGCCATGCAGAAGAAGAAAAGAACTTGTTAGAAAGTGGAGATTGGGGCAAAGGCAGACAGAGGGATCTTTGTCTTATTAAAGAAGGAAGTTAGAAAGAAAGCTGTGGTTAATTACCTATCATTGGATAACACTTTGTATATCAGTACTTAATACTTGCTTTTTATTTGTGAATTGGATGGTATAACCAAAATATCACTGTACAGATCCAACTAAAATGGCATTACTGAAATACTAAAATTTATGATGGCCTTACAGTTTTTACAAAGGGACCTTAAAATATTTGTCAAAATCTTCTCTTTGGTTGATGACCAGCTGTTTAGATTCTTCATAAGCGTTTTTAAATAGCTACAATTTTATTGCTGGAAATAGGTCCTGCATCTGCCTCTTCCTCACTAGTTCGTTGGCTTTACATTGCTCTAGCTCTCCCACCCCCCCTCTCTGTGTGTGCATGCATGCATTCTGGTTTGAACCTAAGGCCTTATTCATTCTAATCACTTGTTTTGCTGTTGAGATGCACCCTTGTTCGTACTGAAATAATTTTATGTAGAAAAATTTGAAACTTTACTATGGAAATGGCACTAATGGAGAGGAAGAATAAGTTTAAAGAGTAAATAGATAGGAATACACTGTTGTTTCCAGAAAACATCATTTATCATTATAAATCTACCCCAATGTACAGCAAATTTATGTTTTCTTCAACTAACTTTTCTTTTTTCAGAAAATAAGTATGGCAGAACTGGGAAAGATGCTAAGGAAGAAAAAATTCTTCCTTCGTCAACAATATACAAATTTAGCAAGTTTTTGAGTGGGGGCATTTGATGCACTTAGAGGAGAAATCACTCAATGTCTCAGAAAAATTAGAGAGGCTGTGGAGTTGGTCATTAATAAAATGCTTCCAATGCAAGCATGAAGACCTTAGTTAGATTCCAGCACCCACACGAAAAGCCATAAGTAGTGATTTATGACTATCGTTTAAATCCTGAGGAGGTGGAGTGTAGTGACATATACTGTACTTTCAATACTGGGAAAGCAGAGAAAGAACATGCCTGAAACTCATTTGCTCTCTAGACTAGCCCAATCTGTGAGTCCAGGTCTTTGAGAAATCCCGTCGCTAAAAACAAGGTGAACAACCCCTGAGGAATGATACTCTAGATTGATTGATTCCAGGTCTCCAACATGCAGGCACACACACACACACACACACACACACACACACTCCCAGAAAGTATTTTTATCTCAGTAAGTGAGGGAGGATTTTAAGATTACCTAGGAATAAGCCTACACACTCAGAGAATTCATTAGAGCGTATAAAACAAAACTATTTTGCATATAACTCACTGGCACTGAAGAAGTATTCTATGAATAAATGATAAGTTAGAAGTTATCAAACGTCCATCAAGACTTCGTTGCTATTATTTGTCTTTTATTTGTTTGTTTGTCTCATTTTGTGGTGCTGGACATTGTCACTGAAGACCGACCCATGCTCACCTGAAACAGTTTTATAGATTTGTGTCAAGGGACAAAGGATAAGAAAAAGATGACGATGTTTAAAGTAAGAATTAATTTTGTATAGTTTTGAGGTAGCATAATTGCAGAAAAAAGAAGGTAGAGCATACTTTTCTACTTGATAATTATCTGACTCTTTCAACATCTTTGCTCAATGCTAATGGACTGCTACATCCCCCTCATCTAAAAGAATAAGCCCCACTTCATAGTGTTCCTTTCACTGCTTTTATCAGGAATAGGTATGCAATACAAATAATAGTTTATTTAGTTCTTTAACCTACGGTGTCCTTTTCTCAGTGAAATCTCTAACAAAAAGTAGACTCTATGACGGCATGGGTTTTGAGTACTTTTAGTTACTGCTACCTTCCCTGTTCTTATGACATTGTTGAACTCATTATTTATGGGTGATAATGTTTGCCGACAGAAGGCCTGGCTAAAATGCATGAGTAATAGGAAAATCAAGTTATTGAGACATATTTAGGCACAAAGAAGGATCACCTATCAATTCGTGCTAAGGGCTCTTGGACTTATCAATGTAATCGGAGTAATTATCAAATAGAGTAGAATGGATGAAATTAGAATTGTATGAAATTAAGAGTGAAAGAATTGGATAACAGATTTGCCCAGCACTGGTGTCCATATGTATATAACTCCTCAAAAGGGCATGACAGCCTAATCTACAGGGGGGCATTGTTGTGCCGAATCTCTCATGAATGGTGTTCATGTCATTAAAGCAGAGACTACAGAAGGTCTCCCACTTCCACATGGTGAGGCTACATACAAAAGAAATTACAAAAATTCAAAGTTATGATTATTTCAAAATCTTCACAGTCTGTCATTTGGATAGCTAAAATTTTGCTTGAAGAGTAAAATTTATCAGATGTTAGAGTACTTTCAAACAACTACATCCCTGAATTTCTATAAGAATAACATAACAGGAACTTGGAGACACTGAAAAATTTGATTTTTTAAATCTTTTTTACTGAATGATATCATTCTAAAATATTTTTATTGAACAAAAAAATTTAGAAGGTGAGCACAAATTTGGGAAGGTGACATGGTAAAGGTATCTTGGAAGAGTTGGAGAGGGGCAGTGAGGGATGGATGAGATCAAAATAAATTGTGTATATGTATGAAATTTTCAAAGAATATACTAAGAAAAATAATTGACATCCACCAGATATTGGATATGGGAAGGTCTTGATCTTTTCAGTCAGTTTTTAGAACTGTGAGAAGCAAATCTTGTTTATAAGCTGCTCGGTTGTAATAATATCATTCTGTGATAATAGTCTGTATCACTAAGATCTGCAAGTAGTTGATGGAGTATTCAGGGAAAACAGGAAAAAAAGGATGAAAATAGTGTGCTGTGGGACAATGGTCTTGGATCCAGTAAAGGTTTTGTCACATGTACTGGATTAATAAAATGCTGATTGTCCAGTAGCCAGGCAAGAAGTATAGGCAGCGTGACCAGGACAGAAGAATTCTGGGACGATGAAAGTCTCAGTCTGTGATTGTCACCCAGACCAAGAGGAAGCAAGATGAGAATGCCTCACTGAGAAAAGGTACTAAGCCATGTGGCTAACACAGACAAGAACCATGGGCTAATTTAAGATGTAAGAGTGAATAAGAATCCTGAGCTAGTAGGCCAAATAGTTTATAATTAATGTAGACCTCTATGTGTTTCTTTGCGACTGAATGGCTGCAGGGCTGGGCAATACAGAAACCTCTGTCAGCAAATATGGCCAATATGGACAACTGTATACACATAAAACCTGAAAGAG